CTCCAGGTACCGGAGACGTTCCCGTCACTCCTATGGATAAAGCTCAGAGATTACAAGGAATTATGAAAGCAGTAAGACAAAATGGGCAGTACGCTTCTATCGAACAAGCAAGGCATTATAATCTCCGCCGTAGGGACTGGAAACCGCAAATCGGAGACCAAGTCCTGGTAAAAACCCACATTTTATCTAACGCGGTTGATCACATTGCCGCGAAACTAAGTCCAAAATTCAGTGGACCATACAAAGTGAAAGGTTTCCAATCGCCAGTAATCGTGATAGTTGAGGACAAGACCGCTAAAATCAAGAAAACAGCACACGTCAGCGATATCAAATTGTACTACGAAGACTCAGATCGTGAAGAGTAGGAAGGCGTCTCAACTTCATACGGTGTGTAGAAAATAAGAAATATCAAGTGCAAATTAGCCGAAGAGGGGTCATCAACGTGTCATTAAAATAAAGTTTTAGTTTAATTTCTGTTCTGAAGAAGGAGGGAAATGTAACGACACAAATTTACAAAGTAAATTTCTGTGCTACATAAAACAAGAAGCAGAGAAAAACACAGTCTGTGTGTTAAATAACCGCCACCACTACACATAATATATCTAACAACTCACATGAAAATCACTGAAGGCGACTTAACTGGAAAATATAAAATTGAATTAAAATATTTATTTGAAATATCATGGACATTACCTGGGATCCTCGATGCCAATGTGCCGCGGGCATCGCTACATGAAATGTGCAAATTCTAAAAATATACGAAAAACAAAATCAACGTTTGGTTAAAACTTTTATGAATGGAACACTTATAAACGCAACAACAATGAACAATTATCGGCGAAACATGTGTAAATTTTAAACAAATGTCTATTTTTCTACAATTATATAGAAATAAAACAAAAACACAAAACAATGTAACTCTTATCACAGAAAACACGTTTAATTATTGAACAAAGGTCTATTTGAAATATATATAAATAAAATAATACACAAAACAATTTAACACTCATGTTTGTACAATTTTATTTTTATAAACAAAACACAACAAAACAAAACTAAACACGCCAACATCAATTTTATTTCTTTTAATATTTCTTTTCTGTTCACATTTAGATAATATTAAATTCACAGAATATATATGTATATTTAATACCTTGTTTTGTAGTATTAAAACACTTTACTTTTAATATAATAATATTTAATATAATATAAACTAAAAAGGAATAACACACGAAATAAAGAAACACGGCGCGTAGTAAAAGTACTAAAAAATCACGGCGAAGCAGAAGAAGTGAGAAAACAGTAGAACACAAAGTTCAACTTCACGGCGAAGTCAAGTACAGCAAAGAATACCGGTACGCTACACCAAAAAGCTCCGGTATGCTCGATATAAAAGGAGGTACATTTTATATAATCAGGGACTTGGTTTGCGACAAGTGAAAGAGCAAGTACTCTGGCTCATTGAGCCTTCTGGTAAATTTTACCAAACTTGAAATTTTACTTTTCCTGAAACAAGTACACTGGCCTATTGGTCATCTGGCACATTGTGCCACAAATCTGGTTCTTTGAGTCAAACGTAGTGTAAAATTCCTTTCCTGTCTTATATGTATATTTTTTTAACCTGGCTTATTCGGTCAAATAGTTTTTTACAGCACGGAGGAAACGTTTTGGTTATTTTTTTTATAACAGAAGAGGGGCTTAAGAAGTCACACGGGTTTTGCTAAGATTCTTTTAACAAGTAGTATATGGAGAAGTGGGAAATTTTGGCATCAACATAATTTTTTTTATTTATTATTAGAAATGTTTCCAATGAATTTTAATTAAACTTTGTTAATCATAAGTTTTATGAAATAAATAAAGTTATATATATAATTTATACATATAAATCACGTTCTGTTTTCTTCTAAAACCAACGTCTCGGCAAAATTATAAATATATTGTCACGACTCTGGACGACGGCTGAGGATACCCCAGCAAAAACTAAAAATTTTTGAACGTCACCAAAAGTGTCGTTACACGGTCATAGGGATATTTTCGGCAATAATCTTCGAAGTGCTTTAGGTGATTATTTAGAACACCTAAAAAATATCGATAACATCATACAAATATTTCTTGAATTCTTTATGTATTTTTATTTCTGTAATCTTTTTGTAATTTAATAAAAAATGGGAGGCCTTAACGATATGTCAGTATATGTATGCAAGTTAGCCGCGTTTTTATAAGAAAAAATCAAGTACTCTCTTTGAAATGCCCTATAAAGATATCTAGAACGATACTAGAAGATTGACTCCTCCGTTTAATTATTTCTAATACATTTCTGGGGAGGACGATCAAACTGCTGCACATCTACTTTGTTACTATCCAGAGCATACACGGTTTCAATTGTCAATCTTAGGGGCTTACTTTTTTGATTATATTGATTCAAGACCGCCTTCTAAAAAACATTTTAAGCTATATCAAAGGGTCAAGATAGTTTGAAACTCCTGAGTTTTTTGAAGCGTGACGTATTGGTCCAATAGGTCTTAATCGATCCTCAGGATCGTCGGTAATTCTAGTTAGCAATACTTATACAACACAAAAGACTCATATTTTTTAAATTAATTTTTAAAAAGTTGCTGTTATTGCAGTTATAGAGACTTGAAAGTTTGTTTTAAATACTATTAAGATTGGATAGAAACTAATGAACCAACTAATGAAGATTTTATTGTAGTTTAAATAATATTTATTAATTAAATGTTATATAAAAAATTTGTTTAGTATAATGTTAATTTTTTCTGTCGAATGTTACGCGTCTCATGAGGAAAAGAAATGTCATATTAAAAGGATTTGAATAGTAATAAAAGGACAACAACAAAAATGTAGTTAGTTTATGGAAATTTAGTATGTTTTCGAATTAATTACCATAACTAAATATCCAAACGCTTATTCTAACAGAGTTATAAAATGTAGTGAATTTGATAAGAACTACTAACTTTTCACGATTTCAACACACAATATGAAAATATAGTATGTTTCATTCTCATTTATAATTAAAGAAGATAAAAAAAAAATTACTAATAACAATTTAATACAAAACCTAATAAATATAGATGAACACTGTGGCAGATAATATCTAAATATATCTTAAATATAGTTCAATTTATTTAAAATGTAATGATATTCATTATAAGTTCGTCCAGTGACATATCATATCTTGAAAATATGTTTTTTCATATATATAGGAAAAAAATGTTTTGATTTCCCAATATCTTTATAGTTCATCTTTGAACTTTGTATTACTTGTACATGTATTTGGCATTGTGATATCATTCAGAAAACATCATCTTAAAATGTTTTGCGAACAAATTAGAATTCAATTGCGTCAATTTCTCCAATTGTGGTATAACTACAACTCGGCTTATTGTCAATGGCTTACCCAATCAACTACTCACATTGCCACTGCCAAACAAAAAATCTTTTTTTCATGACACAAGAAACTCATTCGTTTGCAGTGAGAAATGCAAAAATGTATAGAAAAATATGCAAGTACTAGTTGTGTTTCGTTTTGAAATTGCTTTCATCGTAAGATAAATGCAAAATAGATAAATATTTTATTTTCTGTTATTCTTTTGCCAAACGTACTCCACTCATTCCACTTCACTTAACTCTACTCTATTCAAATTATTCTACTTTACTCGTCCTATTTTTGTCAGAAATGTAGCTGACAAAATGTTATGATGGAAAAACGTGGCAACCTTACATAACCGAATAGCTGTGCACTGCAGACTGCAACTGTGCTATGATGCAATAGAAAATCTTCCTTAGATTTTTGTGCAGTGAGGACTAAAATGTTTGCCTAATTTTCAAGGTATATCAGTTAGACCTAATCATCCTTTCCAAATCTACTACATTTCATTTTTTCGAACAAATTTAATCAGGTTATATGTCGTATTAAGCAACGTTGCTTGGTTATAGATAACATTACTCTGGCAAGCTCTCTCTGTTGGGCCGCAAGTCGTAAATGCAGAATTGGCAAGTTTTTCTTTATCCAATAGAAGTCAAAGTGTAAATGCAACAATTTTTGCTTGCAATCTATAACCCTACATTGTTGCACATCGCCACGCTCTACCCACTCATATTTTGCATATTACTTCTTGCACTGACGGAGTTCTTGTGGCTTGCATACTTTTGTGCGCGCTGCGTCAGAGCAGTACGAGCAAAATGCAAATCTTGCTGACAGTAATCTAAACATTTTGACAGTTTTGCAATATGCGCTGAGTGTGATATTATGCGGAATTTTGCATGTTTCTATTTTTAAAATTCCATTTATTTATATTTTTTTTCCTTATATTCTCATGTCCCTCTTTTGCTATGCTTCTTCTTATTTTTGATGTCCCGTGGAGGAAGGATGCCGAGCGCGCCATTACCTCGTGCGAATGGTTAACGTAGCTCTTCTTCTTCTTTATATACATATAATAAATTTAAATTTAAAAAGATTTTTAATATACTAACCTTTTGTTTGAATCTCATTTTTGCCCTGCATTCCGTGGTTTATAAAATTTTTAAATAATTCCCTTAGACTACAGATTAATTTTATCCATTTTATTTATAACCAAAAAAAGCCATTAACTATTATTTAGTTTTATTATTTTAAGCTTAAAACTTTATTTTTAATATTTTAATAAATCTAGATTGGATTTAACTCGTTTTTGTTATCTTTTTACAATTTTTTTTATGTATTATGACGCCATATTTACCGTGACATAAACTCACAACAACAATAATAACAACAATAATGGCATTAATTCCTACAACGATGCAATAAACTATCATCGATGCCAATGCCACTTCTATTAACGTTACGACAACGCCATCATCAACGCCGTCTCCACCAACGCCGCCTCACACAAAAACGAAAACGACAACGAAAACGAATGCGAATACGAATACCAACAAATATGTGTTCCACTCACTTCGTCATCATCACCAACTTTTCGAATCGAACACAATTACAATTGCAGGCAACGTCGCAGCTATCAACAAGTGCCATGAATGGCATTGCCGTGCCTGGTGATGTTTCCTCGGTTGGTGTATTGGGCGGTGGGATGCTGAATGGTGTCGTAGGCGGTGTTGGCGCCAACAATGCCAGTCAGAATAAATACGATCGATGGGAATTCCCAAGGCACCGATTGAAGTTCTTCAACATATTGGGAGAAGGCGCCTTCGGCCAAGTATGGCGTTGTGAAGCAACCGACATTGATGGTAAGTAAGCAGACGTTTGTTCATATTTATTCCTTGTTATAAGTGGGCTGAATGGAATGAATGGGATGAGTGGGGTGATTGGTGTGATTGGGGCGTCATAAGATTTTTGTTATATATGACTTGAGGTGGGAACTGTACGCGAGGAGTAAATGTAAGGAATGTTGATTTGTTTGGATTTTTCATATTTTTCACATTCAGTTGGTTTTCCTAGTGCGTGTGTCGGGGGAGCTGTTAAGCATGTTCCTGATGATGAGCGATGTTGATGATAATGGGTGTGTGGTGCGAATTTATATCTTATGTTTCTCTATTGCAATTGATAGATATTACTAAAGACTCACATAAATTCTGTTTGCTTTGTATTCGAATATTTAAATAATTTATATATATGAAAAGTATGTAAATTATATCTTAAATATGTTTTTGATGGATATTAGCAAAGAAGTACAATAGCAAAAGATAAATTAACTCTAAATAGAGTGTAACTCAAGTGATATACTTTAAATATGCCATTTTAGGAAATTGATTTTATTTATGATTTGGAAAACACAAAGTAAACAACTGAAATTGAGCAGCACATAAATAAATTTATTTTGCCCTGAAGTGAAATCACACAAAAAATATTTCTCAAAGGAATTAAATTTATATTTGCTTTAATTTTTAAATCTTTAACATTAGCAATTATTTAAAAGAAAATTATTTGAGTTTTCTTGATGTTTCAATACCTCACAATGTTGAATGCTATTTAAAACAGATAGGTTGTTAGCGAAGTATCTTTATGATAGTTTGTCTGGTTATTTATTAATAAGAATGAAAGATCTGTAAAATACCCGAATGGCTCTAGTCTTTATCTCTTTAAATATCTTCCAAGAATTGTAGTAAATATGGTACAAAAACTTTCTATTTTCGTTTATGTTGTAAATAATCGATGAATAATCGCTAATTAGGGTATATAGAAAGATATTAGCTGACATGTTACTGCTGTAACGAATCAACTTATTTCAATCCAATTATTTCAAATGAAAGTTATATGATAAAGTTAACTAATTAATTTAGAGAGTCGATTTGTGAATATAAAAAGATCAGTTTATATAAAGTTCCAGTGTACGGTATTGTGTGAACAAATCAAATGATAATATACCACTGCGTTTGGCAATATGCTGACAATAACAATTATATACCGTATAAGAATTTTCGTGTATATTAAGACTGTTTAATCTTCAATGGTAAATTTTAAGGCCAATGTAGTAAAAATGTTCAGGCGAGCTAGACCAAACATAACTTATTGTGATATCCTAGTTACACCATTTGAACTTTCAGATAAAGTTAAGGAGATCCGATCACGACAACCGATAATCTACCAGACTATCACGCCTCCAGTATCTCAACCAGACCATTGAAGATACGACCTCATTAATTTTGAAGTTATTTTGTTTGGTTAGTCGATTGTAGTTGTAGTGCCAGTCAGCAGATAACTTTCTCCTGATCCTAATAAGCGCTTTGTCACGGTTTTGCAACCACATTCCTCGCAAGAAATTTTAAGTTATAAAAATACAAGAACTAAATCCATCCAGTTGAATTCAGAAAACAGATAGTAAATCTATTACCCATTACAGATCTATTATTGATAATAGAAAGTAGATCCGTTATCTATAATAAATTCAAAAAATATTATATTAATTTCAGATAATAAATCGTTCATCCTTATCGATAAATAGTCTGACAAACTGCACAAAAGAGTACTTCTCTAGAAACTTTTGAGTTCTGGACGCCAAAAAAGTTTCTTGATTTTTTCTTTTTCCTGCACTACAATAGGATTATTAAAAGGAATGCTCAATTACTTTACTTGGATTCCTATATACCAGTAAGCAGAGAGAACTGCAGTAATCCTTGAAGTATTTACTCGGTCCCTTTCGTGTGCAGTTCTGAAAAAAACCATAAAAAAGTAGTAGTCATACAAAGTAGTAGTCATATACACCATCTACAGGTTCGTTGAAACCAAAATGAGTTTTGTGCTCTTTCCCTATCTAACCTAAGCTATAAGACGGTAGTGAGAATACAGATTTTACGGTTTTTTATTCGACACTATCTCTAGGTTGACTTGGTCTGATTTGGACAAAAAAATGTACCAATCCGTTACTTCAACTAAGGTGGAACCTACTCAGCACTACGGTATCGTTGCTGATGGGTCACTGCATAAGAAGGGGATATATTAGACTATCTCTTCCTTATAATGACCTTTGTCATAGTTGTAGTTCTGAGAACGAGGAGTTAACTGTGTTTTGTTTCATATGTCAGTAGCCATCTTTAGCTAGAAAAAGATCAAAAATCTTAGGGGACCTTTTTCTTACCGATCTGTCTGAGCTGTTGTTAAGCAATATTAGGGACCAAGTCAAATTCATAGAATTGTCAGGTTGGTTTACTCTTACCTAATGGGGAATCATTGCCTTTCTTGATGAAAGTCGTGTACTGAACTTCTTGCCTATGTGCGAACTAACGCTATTCCTGTGGTGTTACAACTACAGGCCGTGACTCCAACCTAAATAAACCTATTCAACACTGCAGTGCTGAATTCATCTATGTTACTATACAGTTTCTTTATCGGGATTTGTCTCCAGACACCATATGTCAATTTTGAAGCCTTTTGTGGCCATATCATCTGCTATATCATTCAGTTCAATATATATAAGTTTGGCAACCCCAGAAAGGTACACCTTGTTAGTTATACATAATCAAATGTATTATATTATTTAAATTAAATTAAATATTGAATATATTTAGTTGTTTACATTAAATAAATAGTTTATTATATTATCTTTTTATGTAAATGTGTTTACTACTGACATAAAAATTGTGCTGATAATCACACTTTCGTTGCTCTAATATTGCCAGATTGCACATAAAAATTATTTTGAATTGCGTGTCGATAAAATTTTATTTGATTTTAAAATTATTTCACTAAATAAATAATTAAAAACATATATGGGTATATGTAAAAGCACAATATTTATTGAAAGCTACATGATGTAATTAAAAAAGACCTAAAAAAACAAAATGTTATTATTTTACAAATGAAAAATTTTTGTTGGAAAATAATTTTTTGTTCAAATTTATTGTTTATTTATGGAAAAAGGATTTTGTGTCCAATTTGATGAAAATTTGAAAGCATTTGGTTCTGTTATTTTTCTAAATTTCGTGCAACGTTTCGACTTTTATAGCACTTAAAACTTTGTTGGTCATTAATCCTTTTAATGTGCGGGAAAACTATGCAACTGAAAGTCAAATAGAACTGAAATCTGAAAACTCGAAACTGAAAACGGAAAACTGAAAGCTGAAAGCCGAAGCTGAAACTGAAGCTGAAATTGCAAACAACAATTACAACGTAAATTCGTATTAATATATTACCGAAATCGTTGTTTGAGTCCCTCGCCTGTGTCCACAAATTCACTCAGAGCGATAGTTTTGGCTTGTGCTATACAAATTATTTGTCAGGACCAACAAAAAACAAAAAAAAACACTAAAACAAGAACAAAAATATATACAATTTTTGTGAATCCCATACACTCAGAAAAATCACTTGCAAATACAATATATGCAAAAAAGTTCGTTGTTGTTGGTCGCAGCGAGTTGGGTGGGGAGTCTGGAATGGGAACGGGAACGGGGAAATGCAATTCGAGAGCAGTTTGAAAAGTTTAATCGGAGATAAGTTCAGCACCTAATTTGAGAATGGAAGTTGTTAGCTGTCCTTTAGCAAATGATCACAATATTTGCATTTACTGCAGAACCGCTTGGATTCTGATTCGAAGCGCTCCCCGTACGATTGAACCGAAATTATGGAAAATATTACACTTCGTTGGCAATCAAAACAATTCCAACAGAACATAAATATTGCACATAAAAACATGAATAATAAAATAATAAAATTATGAAATTCGATGAATACTCGACGAGGCCCCGCTCGCTCGGTGCTGCGTTGATGGTCTCGAGAACTGCGAAATGGAGCGGAGAGCTGCAGGAAAATCAAGCAATTTCCATGTACATTCGATATTTTTTTTAGTACAACAATAAATTTTCGTTGAATGTGGGTTGTTCTGTGCGGTCGGGAAATGCATGAAATGTAAGTATATGAAGTGTTTAATGAATGAATAAAATAAAAAAAAAATTCTTTTTATTGTCTATGATGTTTTTATTATTGCTGTTATTGTTATTTTATTTTTGTTGTTATTGTTTTGCTACATTGCGTTATTGCTCTGCTGTACTGGGCTGAGCTGAGCTCTATGGGTTTTTATAGTTTTCTGTATGGTCTGTATGGTCTGTTTTTTGTTTTGTGTTTTTGCTTTTAATATTTGCAATTTGTAAATTGCTCTCCGGCACAAAGGACCATTTGAGTTAAGGAAATAAAATTCAAACACAAAATTTTACACAAATTTAAATAATTTTACAATGGAAAATAACTTTTTAGTTGGCATCAATTGAAGTCGCTTAACTTAGTATAAAAATTGATTTAAATATATTTTTACAGAATTTAAAAATTGGTAATTTCGCTAATGTTTTGCACTTTGAAAGAACAGAAAACAGAAATATAAAATTTCACTTAACAAAAATTGATTAATTGAATTAAATTAATTAAAAAAATATTCAAAAACGAAAATTTTATAATATAATATATATTATATCAATTGAAAGTCGAAATTGATTTCTGATATGCAATAATATATTTGCAAGTCAGTTATCGATTGCTATTCTAAAAGTTATATGCTTAATACAGAAAGAAATATCTTTAAATTTTCTTTTTTGTTTGAAAATACAAATATTCTCTTACTTTCCTAAACGATACTTTAGCTTTATTATAATTGATTAATATTTTAATCATATAATTATGTTATTATAATTAATAAGATAGATTTTTTAGTCAAATATGACACGTCTTGTGACGAAAAGAAAATTAGAAGGTTGAACCCTTCTAATGAAGAAACAACAACTACAAAAATTTGATTAATTTATTGAAATTTGGTTGACAATATAACACTGTTTTGAGTATTGCCAAGTTCTCATCATCACTGATCTTAGAAAGTATTCAAATTGTTATTTAATTAGTTTATAGTCCATATATAATTTGTTGGACTGTAAGTGCCAGGCTTAAAAATCATGCCTGTCAAATTAGAAACGATGACTAAATGTGTTTTTTCACAAGTAGCCAAGGTTCAATGCTCAAGTTCCAAGTTTTTTGTCACCAATTATTTTCAAACTGACACTAACCAAAACACTCGCCGTACTTTAAATTAGAACTAGCTTATAAACTACATTTTTATTTGGAAACACAAGTTCAAGGAGTTCAAAGTTTTTTTTTGTTATATATTATTAGTAGCAGTATTTTAGGTTTATTTTACTTCATTTTAAATATGTTGTATTACATAGAAATTTATAACAATTATATTATATATATAAAACTTACAGCTATAGCATTTTCGATGTCCGCCTGCAAATCGGACTAATTGGACTAAATAGTAGATTATATGAAGATCTCCAAAATAATTACTTATAAGGGATAAAATATTAACAATTGAGGATTTTTGATTTCAGAGTCACTTTTTAGGAACAAAAAAAAAACAATATTTCGAGATGCAATTCTTGAATATTAGTTGAAGCAACTTTAAGAAAGTATATATGTACATTAACTAACTAAAACAAAACTGTATCTTAATACATACCTTATCCAATTTAACTGTACTAGAGTTAAATATGGATCCAGTATGTATAAAGCAGCCTAAGCAAATAGAAGTCAATCTATTAAAAATTTTTTTTACATTATTGTCGAAATACAACAAACCCGGTCTAACAAACCTTAAGTCCACCTCAGGACGCACAGGAAGATATGCTGATCTACGGTCCGTCATCAGTTAGAAAATAAATAAATGATAATGTTTCTAGTATAGCTAAAGTTTAGTGTGGGGCAGGGATATGCCTCCCAGCCACAAAAGAGTAAAAGTGCGCAATAGCACTAACTCAAATCACAACAATAACAACAAATGATTTAAATCGACATTTTATATTTCTACAAGTGCAATAAATCATTTTTATTGAAATAAAACTTTTATTATTGCAGAATATATTATATCCATTAATCCCACTCCTATTTAAAAATAGTTTCACCGACAGGATTGACTTTATTTATTTGATTTTAAAGCTTGATATGATTCTTCGTTGATATTTGTAATAACTTAGGTTGGATATTGATTAAATGAATAGTATTTGCATATTGAGACGATACTTCTAATCAGAGAAGATCTTGTCTGCCTCCGATACAAGTCTACCTCCGATTGGTTGAAACAATTATAGATTCTAGAATTGGATAATGATGTTTAAATTTTAGATATCCTTTAAAATTATTATTTATTTAAATAACTAAATAACAAAAATCCTTGTTTCCATTGTTCCAATAAAAATCAATAGCAACTGAACAATACCAAATATATATATCGGTTAAATTTCAATGCAATGAAAACTTATATTAAATATTTAATGTGATGCTTTTACTAAAGTATGTAAGGCTTTTATAAAAATGAACTTTTTTATCTGAAATTTTTGTATTTTTTGAGTGAATGCTTCATCAATACCCGAAATATCTGAAATATCCGAAATACGCGAAAAGCAGAAAAACAATGGCAACGATTTTCTATGCAAAGGAAAAGCAATCAAAATGAAAATTGCACGGCTCAGTAAATTTATAATTTTATTTGTTGTAATTGCTGGGTAGTTTTTGCTTGTTTTGCCGCATAAATACATCGATGTTTTCTAATGGAATTAAACTTAAAGCCGCGTTTTTAATTTTGGAAGCACACCCCAAACATCGTGCTCCTCCCTCGTTCGACGAGGTTCCGTGAAATGCAACTCTGCACTCTGCACTGTGAAATATGTTCGTGTAGCTGCGGTTTATGCGGTGAAATCCTATTATAAATGGCGCGAAGTCTGATTTATGTCACGTTCTACGTTGTTTAAATTGCAACAGAATAAATTTTTTATTTGGCACATTTACAATGGCAAACATTGCACAAAATCAAAACATGAAAAAATTTGGAATAAATGAACATTTAAAATTGTTAAGTAATGAAAAAATACATATACAATACACATACTGTATTCCCCGCGTTGGCGGGGAAGGAACAAAAATAGTTGCTGTAATTCGAAGCATCGCAAATATTTGCCAAGTTTTTTACACAAATTTCTTTTTTAATAAAAACATTTCATTATAATGAAATTTATCTTCATGTGTAAAGATACAAAAATTGTATCTCAAACAACTGAATTTTTTACCAAATATAAACTTCATACCTGTTTGATGAGCAGAAAGACTTAAATTTGCTAAAAGCATTTTTTTATTATGAATTTTAATTATAAATCTTTAATAGTTTGTGTGTGGTTTTTATATCACAGGATATTTCTGGTATTTAATGCTTAACTTAACTTAATTTATTTAATTTAGTTCGCTTTTCAATTTCCTTTTTTTGTGGATATTAAATTTTACTGACATGGTTATACTTGGTAAAGTTTTTAGTGTTTGAAACATGATCTGTATGATCTGTATAAAGTAACTCTAATATCAAAAATCGTAACAACCTTATCAATGTGGTTTTAAAAATGGCGAGTCATCCTCTAACTGGATATTTATAGTCCCATAAAACCTTAAGCAATATCAAGAAAATCAACTCAGCAGACTTTAACTTTTATTGATATAAGGCCAACTTAAGCGGCTCTTAATGCTGTTATATCTGATTTTAGTATCGCCATAAAACTTATGTGATTATAAAAAATGAACATCACCACCAAAGATCTGCTTCGCTAGAGTATGACGTACCTCTTTGACTCTTTCAATAACAATTGCGTATGTAAAACATCACTAGAACCTCCTTAGACCATATTTTGAAGTACCTCTTTAATCCTTGTCAGAATATCAAATGAATTTTCAGAATCATAATCATATAGCTTATTGTTTTTTTCTTTGATCTAATGCTAGAGAACTTTATTAGAACAGAAAAACTGAATTATATGAATACAATTTACTACGGAATAGCAATACTACTGCTGTAAGCCGAATATAATGCTGTAGTTGGCATGTATACCCGTGCCATTAGTGCAACTTTTTCCAACCTAAAGAAACACAAGTCTCTTCTCATGTCTGTCTTATTGTATAATGGAGAATTTTTCTCCATTTTCTTCTGCATGTTTTGACTGAAAGTATAAAATTAGTTCAAATGATAAGCTGTATGTGACTCTCCGGTATACTAATATATCTAGTAAGGCGTTGAAACGTTAAATGGCTTTACTAATGTGTTCTTTCATGAGTCAATTCCAGCGTTGCAGTCAGAAGAAAACTCTACAGTGGATGTAGAGTGTACATGCTTTTTTTATGGAATACTCGTATCAGAGATGATGAATACTGTGATATTATTTCATATTACCAATTAGAAAGTGAAGTGCAGAGTATATGGTAGGTTTAAGTGATGAATATTTTGAACTTTGAATACATTGTAGTAGTTCTAGTTACGTGGTACTACAAACCGGTAATAGTAAGCAATTGAACGAGCTAGTTAGGGAAGGCTGCTAGACGTGCTAAGGATGATACATGCCTGTAAAGACCAATTACGATATATACTTTGACTTTATATACTTTGTATAAAAGTAAAAGATCTAAAAGGTAGATCTAGAATATGATTTCTTCTCAGTCGTCTTGTTATTTCATTATCGACTAATAGAGACAAGGCAAGAAAAGTGAACTTCAAGTCTATTGACGTACCTGCAAATTAACGTTATTATTTCGTTTCCAAGCAATATCTAAGTCTTAATAATATACTTTATAAAATTAATGATAAAAATGTAATGATAACAATGCTCAAAGTGCTTTAGTGTTAGTTGTGATAGATACGATCTTTAGGAATATAAATTTAAATTCATTGTTTTTTTTTTTACTTAAAAAAATGTTCGTTAACATTCAAACAGTGCTAATTGATACTTTTAATAGTTACTTAACAAAAAGGCATTAAGTTGGGAAGTCGAAACGCGAATTGAGTTAAATAAAGTTTCTTTAAAAGAGAAAACCATATCGAACCTGGCTTGCATTTTAATTTAATACTGAAACGTATGT